CAAGGATGTGCCCACCATCTACCTTCCATTTTGAGCTTAACCTTCTCATGTTCATAATTAACATCTAACCACTCCATGGCCACAGTGTCACAAAGTATGAAATGCCACATTTAAAATATGGGACTTACCAAAAATTAGAAACCTTCCAAATAGCTTTGATTATAGCAATTTCATAAATAAAACCATTTTAAGGCTTTTTTGTAAGTACTTTCATGACACCTGTTCAGATAAGCTCTTCACGATGGTACGTAGACTTTATGAATGACAAGGTCTCAGCAATTTACAGTCGAGTTGGTTAGATGTAACCATAAGTTCTATGCCAGCAGTTTCTTTCTCACATGCGGAACTCTTGCAGCTTCATGCTTTCCAATCAACTTTAATCTTCAAATGTAATGTCAATTGCTATCTACCTGTATAACTGATTACTAAGGAGCAAGAATAAAAAGAGTTATGTCTTTTTTTCTTCTAATTCTACCACACTCAGTAATACCTCATGTTTATGTTGCCTTGCCTGAGGAAACAAAAAGTCGAGTCAGGGTTTGCATAATGCTTGGAATTATAGCGCTTGAAGAAAACTTTATATAAATCAAGATTTCTGCACCCAGTCTTTTATGAAGATGTGTAGTTGTCGACATTCACTTTAGCTTGATGAGGCCTTAAAAGGACAAAAACCCCCCCCCCGTCATTTATTTTACTCACATGTAGGAACCTGTGTGAGTGTGTGTGTATATATATATATATATATATATATATATATATATATATAAACGCTGGTTCCTATGTTGAATATTATTATTATTTTTTTTTTTTATTACATCATGTATAAATTTTTCTTTGTATTTAAATTTTTTTTTCCTGATTTTTGTTCCGTTGGCTAGGATGGTGCTACTGTCAGATAAGTGCCATGTTAGTCAATGTGAGAGAGCAGTTGTATGGTCAATGTCAAAGTTTTTGTTTTTTTTTTATCAAAATATCTCAGCAATATTTTATTCCACCTGTAAATGTGTGTCATTTGTAAAAGCACTAGGCTCAGCAAGTTCATGGCAATAATAAAAAAAAGAAAAGAACTGATCAACTTTTTTTTTTAAAATTTATTACTTTTTCCAGATTAAAAAAGTAAAAAAAGAAAAAAAAAAAAAAAAAATTAAAATCATAATAATTAGCTGTAGCCAGGAGGAATTATCCCAGAGACAAGTGCAGATCTCAGCCCTAATGGCAGGGTGACTGACATGAGATTCAAAAGGCAGCAGATGTCGAAACATTTTAGAGAGAAATAAATCATGAAGTGAGGCAGTGTCAGATTTTGTGAGAAGAATTTGGCATTATGGAAGAATTCTGGAAATTTCAGAGAAGAGAGGAGGAAAAAAAGAGGAGGAGGAAAAAAAAAAAAAAAAAAAAAAAAAAACTTCAATGAAAGAAAAAAGAATTCAAAAAATTTTCTTCCTCTCTTAGAATCTTTACTACCCACTCCAACAAAAATTCTTTGGTTTCATGGAAACCCCCAAGGTGATAAAATGCTGTTACATATACAAGCAGTAACCAAATTCCAGAAAAACGAATCTTCAAAGTCAGATTCTTTACTTTTGTTTTCTGCTGTACAGTCATAACCTAAAAAGAAAATCCTGTTCCTACACAGGAAGTTGTGATAAATGGTAAGTCATTGTGGTGTTGGTAAGACAAATATTAGTTGCAGAGTTACTAATGTGCATTTTATGGTTTCACAAACAGTATCAGACTAGCTAGTCCAAGACATTTCTATCTGCACTCTGAGACATTGGCATTGTTATTCTTTTCCCAATTCCTCCAGTCTTCAGTTCTACATTTTTTTTTGTTTTGTCCTGAGATCACAATTTCTTCTCAACAGTTTCAGCAATGGCATCCAGGAAGTCCATCGTGACCAAGTAGTGATCAGGCTTCACACTGAAAGGAAAAAAAAAAAAAAAAAAAAAAAGTCAGATAAGATTCTGTAAAATTCACAAACATAGCAGCACCGAAGGTTTTCAGATTTCAAGAGCCTCCCAGTGTAAATTAGTGAAGACAAACTCTTATATGCAAAACATTTATAGATGCTACAGAAATAAGAGCAGACTGTTAAATAGAGAATTTAGAGGAGGAGGAATGGATATAGCACTATCATGTGTAGAGGAAATGAAATGCAGCCAATCGCTACTGATAATGGTAGCTGCCCCAGTTGTTCAAGAGACAATGTAGTGTGCTGTCTCTGCAGAAAGACATCAGATTGTCTGGTTATGAAGAAAAAAAAGTGTATCAGCTGCACCAGGAGATAGCCGGACAATGGGCCAAGTGATGTTAGCTATGGAAATGATTCCTTTGCTAGTCAACTGATAAAGTTTTAGGCTCCATATAAGCAGGCACATTTTCTGGGAAGCGGGTGTCTGGCAGTGCAACATATTGATCGCACAACAGGACTGCTGTGTGTTACCAATGATTTCTGTTACTGTTACCAGCATCATTTCAAATTTGTTTGCGTTTCTGGTGACTCAGCTGCATTTGCCCTGTACACATGGTGTTCTGTGTAGATGTCTTTCTGTGATCAGCTTGTTGTGATCCAGTGTTTGATATTTTTTTCTGTTGTTTTTAAGACCTCTTCCTCCATCCAATAAGAAAATACCTTCATCATGTTAATATTGAATATAGGACAGGATGGGTAACCTTTTTTTTAAATAGTGGGTTGTATAAAAATGAAACATTTACATGTATGACCTCCTTACTGGGAATTGCAAATTGTTTAAAATACTTCAAATTTTATTAAATTTTAATAGACATTATTTCCCTCATAAATTGAACAAGTTTCAAAAGCAGAAGACAAAAAGCTTCAGTTGATTCAAATCTCCAAGGCAATTGTTACTTACTTCTTCAGGCCATGAATGCAGCCAGCCAAATCTTTTGTCATTTTCCCACTGTCAACAGTGTCAACACAGGCTGTCTCCATAATTTGAGCAAACCTAGAAAAATAAATTTATAGTTTCAATTTGTCTTTTTCAGTTTAATATCACAAATCCACGGGTTCATCTTAAAAAAAAAAAAAAAAAAATTTCAAATTACATTTCAAATTAGTATTTCATTAGTAAATAATAATAATAATAAGTTGTCTTTCTATTATTAGAACCTGACATTGTTCAAGGGTTAACCCAGAATCGATAGGATTCTATAAGAAAACTAACCTTAGGAAATGTTTGCCTCAATCTTGTTGAATAGTTTCAATTATTCAAGGCCAAGTGACACCAAATTCACCTTTCAAAAAAAAGCATTTACTATTTTTTTTTTTTTTTTTTAAATTCACTTTGTATATAAATCCCAGGTGAAAAGCGATCACAAGTAAAAGGTTCATGTAATCTAGTCAATAAGAGATTAAAATGGGCATTTCATATGCTTTCAGCAAACCCAAAAATATTACTAGGGTAGCTGATGTGCATACACTATGCAGGCTATATTATTTATATATATATATATATATATATATATATATATATATATATTACATGTTGGATTTATAATCATGTCAATATTATAGTTGGATTTATAATTTGTCAATATATATATATATATATATAAGTTTGTATATATATATATATAATTATAGTTAATAGACAAGTTGAATTTTATAAAACCTCTTCACTTTAAAACAAATACCTTCCACCCTCCCCTGACTCATGCCTTTTGCCTGACTGAAACATTGAAATGGTTAAATTCTGTAGTTTTTTTTGTTTTTTGTTTTTTAGTTTTCACATTTAAATTTCTATTTGACACAAACTCAGTCTATACCAGGGTTGATAATACAGATGACTATGAATAAACTTATTTCCCCATATAAGGTGATTTTATATTTTATTGTGTATTAATTATTTGCTCTGCAATAATAAATCCATTGAGCCTTTTGTGGATTAGTTTCCATACTAGGATTCACTTAGATCATATAACAACGGATTTGTTACCTTTACTATATGGAATAAAAGTTCCAAATAAGTTTGTGTTTTTGTATTGCTCAAAAGCTGACCTTACCAGATTTGTTCATAAGGAAATAATTACCTGATCAATTCTTTGTTGTTATCCAATTTTCCTCTATGTTCTAGGCCACGGGTCCAGGCAAAGATACTGGCGATAGGATTGGTGCTAGTTGGATTACCCTGCAACAGAAAAAAAAAAAAAAAAAAAAAAAAAAAAGAGTCAACCCTCTCAGTATTTAAAGAAGTTTTCAAAGTAATTTTAGCTTTTGAGAGAAGAGAGGATCTCTAAGAAATGTTTAGACATACTCTCTAGTATGCATAAACAATATTTACCTACAAATTAAGTTATTACCTTACAACCCATGGATCCATTGATTGTACCTAGTAATGTTATAGCTGTCCTGTGAATAATGCATGTTGTATTGCTGTGCATGAACATTTCTTGTAGAAAATATTGAGCAATGTACGTGGCACTGCATTTTCTAAAAATAATTAGGCTCCACTATTACCTTGTTATCCACAGAAGTTAGTAAAAGATCTAAAAAATAAAAGTTAATTACTTACAACAAATGAAATACTAATTAACCCCCAACAAAATATTTATGAAAATAGATTTGTTTAGAAAATCTTACTCTTGGTTGCCAGTAATAGGCATTAGTTTTCAAACAAACAGACTTAGACCCAGTTAAATTGATTAGTCATTTTGTTTAAGATAGTCTTGTTGACATACAAGCAACATCTATAATCATTTGTTGGTACAAAAATTAATTTATGTCATTTTGTTTTGCTTCAGCAGAAAACCCACGCATCAAGAAATTAAAAGAATGTTGGAATTTCACCTATTCAATGATGAATACAGATTTAAACTGAAGATTAGTCAAATGTCCAAAAATATGAATATATAATCAAGACAAAAAACATCAGAATGCTTCAAAACCTTGCTATTACAAGGTACAAGAGTCATTAGTTAACCCATTACCTGCCATGAGCCCCATTTGGGGATTTGTTAAAATTAAACTTACATCTTATTCCTGGTATTTACATTGAATTGCTTACATACATTGCATTTGCAGAGGTATATTTTACAACACTTAGCCTTTAAAGTTTTTATTATTAGCCGTAAGATACTTTGTCATAATTTTACATTTCATGAGTAGAAAAATAATGACTACATTGAAAAATATATTTTTTTTTTTTATTATATTTCTAATCAATATTATTTTTTGATGTTTTATACACATATATATTTGATGTTCTAGTTTCTATAAAAACGACAATGGTAACTACTGAAATTAAACATAAGGAATAAATAAACTCCCAAGACACCTGTCTGGGCCAAAAATGGGCATTAAAAAAATTTGACAGTTAATGGGTTAATGTGTTGTTGTAACAGCCTACCTTTTGATGCTCTCTGTAATGTCTGGTTACTGTGCCATGAGCAGCTTCAGACTCTATTGTCTTGCCATCAGGACACACCAAAACGCTGGTCATCAGACCAAGAGAGCCATAACCTATAAAAAGAGATTCAAAGACCAACATTAATCAAAAATTACATGATAAAGTTTATTTTAGAAATGGAGGATTTAGAATTAAAGTCTTACCTTGTGCAACAATATCAGACTGAACGTCGCCATCATAATTCTTACAACTCCAAACAAAGCCACCGCTGGATTTGAGGGCCTGGGCAACCATGTCGTCAATCAAACGATGTTCATACCAAATGCCAAGCTCATCAAACTTCTTTGCATATTCACTTCAAAAGAAATTAAATTTTCTATGGCTTAAAACTGATGAGATATTAGGAGACAAAAACATTAAATTCAAAGAACATTAAGTTAGAATACTAATTACCAATGTTGGCAATAAGGTACTCTCAAAGAAGCTGTAAGTGTCTAGAGTTTTTGAGTTTTTTTTTGTCTGCGCGTGGGAGGAGGAGGGGAGGAGGAGAAGGGGGAGGAATTTAAACCTTTCAGCTCTAACCGGAACAATTCGCAACATTTTATCTACATATTTGTTCATCACTTTACATATAAAATGCCTATTTTTAAGCATTAAGATGGAACAGAAGTAGACAGAATCACCTATTGTTTGGTTCAAGCCATTTAGGATTGGGTTTCCAGAACAATCTAAAGTCTTTTCATTTTCTTTCACTCACAGTAGCTTGTTAAGCAACATCGATCCTGATCAGTACTTAGATGGGTGGCTGATTGGGAATAGTAAGAGGTTTATCCCTTGTTTCCTGGGTGAGGATTAGTTTCAGGTTTGTTCTAAAGTCATTTTACTCTCCTTCACTCCCAGTAACCAGTTAAGCAACATTGAACCTGAGCAGTACTTAGATGGGTGACCGAATGAGAATAGTAGAGATTTATCCCTTGTTTCCTGTTTAGGATTGGGTTTCCAGTTCCTTCTAAAGTCTTCTCATTCTTTCACCTCCCAGTAGCAGCCTTTGCTTGGGGTGAATTGATTTAAAAAAAAAAAAAAAAAAAACCAGCAATGTATGCATTTTTTTTTTTTTTTTAAAGAATCCATTCACCCCAAGCAAGATGTAAAGGCTTACTGGGAGTGAAAGATTGAAAATTTTTTTACAACAATCCCTGAACAGGAAACAAAGAGTAAACCCCTACCCATGCCAAAGGACTGGAGAGGAGTGTAAACTGGATGATAGGTGTTTATAACAAAAAAAAAAAAAAAAATGTGATATTAACTCTGCTCCCTTTACCATTGTGATTTCAGAATGGATGGGTTGCCAGCCTAAAGAAATATCTGAAAATGACCATTTAAATTTAAGGAGACAATTTGAAAGGGGAAGGGAAATATGAAAAGAATTTCAACTATTTTGCCAAAGGAAGCTATTAGCCACCTAACAGAATGATAGAAAAGCATTTGAAAATTCTTGCTGGGGTTGAATCCATGTATAAATGTAATCTGGACATTTTATGGTAGTTGCAATTTTATTAATGAACCAAGAACATTTGAAATGATAACTGGAGTTTAAATCAAAATAAAATAAGAAAGCAAGGGAACCAAAGGAATATTCAATATTTCCTCCAGAGTTACTTACGCTTCATAGATTTCTTCAAAGATGTCCTTGAAACGGCCATCATAACGTTTCAGAATGGTATTTTTGGTGCTCATATACAGAGGCCATTTCTTCATTAAAGCGTAGTTAAAGGAAGCATGAGCAAAATCTCTGATAGACTGAAATGGAGAGAGAGAAAAAAAAAAAGTAAAAACAATCAAGTCAGGACAAGTCAGAAATGATATAACAAATGCGACCAAGGAGAGAGGTAAGGGGGGAGGGTGGCAGAGAGAGGTAAGGGTGGCAGAGAGAGGTAAGGGTGGCAGAGAGAGGTAAGGGTGGCAGAGAGAGGTAAGGGAGGGTGGCAGAGAGAGGTAAGGGAGGGTGGCAGAGAGAGGTAAGGGAGGGTGGAGAGTGGGGAGAGAGAGGGTGGGGAGGGTGGCAGAGAGAGGTAAGGGTGGCAGAGAGAGGTAAGGGTGGCAGAGAGAGGTAAGGGTGGCAGAGAGAGGTAAGGGTGGCAGAGATTTTTATAAGGGGGGGGTGGCAGAGAGATTTAAGGGATTTTGGCAAGGAGAGGTGTGGACCTTGGCAGAGAGAGAGGGAATAAAGAGGTAAAGGGGAGGGTGGCAGAGAGAGGTAAGGGTGGCAGAGAGAGGAGGAGAGGGTGGCAGAGAGAGGTAAGGGGTGGCAGAGATAAAAAGGGTGGCAGAGAGAGGTAGGAGGAGGTGGGAGGGTGGCAGAGAGAGGTAGGAGGGTGGCAGAGATCCCCAAAGGGAGGGTGGCAGAGAGGAAGGGAGGGTGGCAGAGAGAGGGGGAGGGGTGGTGAGAGAGGTTAGGGAGGGTGGAGAGAGAGAGAGAGAGAGAGAGTGAACAGACCCAGGTGAGTCTTAAGATATTTTCCTGCATTATTCTTGCCATATACAGGCTTATGTTTTCACAATGAGAACATTTCCCTTTAATTCCGAAGCGTACACTGCCACCGTTATGTAAAAGCTAAAGTATATTGGCCCATAGCACCTTTGTTACATTCACTTATGTGTAAATAAATACCCTTGGGAAAGGGATTTGAATTTATAACCACCACCCCACAACTGATGTAAATAGGACACATGCAGTCCTATAACCTTGGGTGGCAACTGGCCTAGAAGAAGGACAAGTCTGAATTCAAAATCTTCTATAGCTCTGGTAAAGCACACACACACACACACACTGTGCACCAAAGGAAAGGATTGCATAGTTCACATTGACTATGATACCAACAATAGTGCATATTAGTGCACTTTGAATTTATTCTGAAGTGCCATGTATGATTAGTAGTGCGGATGATAGCCATTACAACTGGTTCCCAAAAATGTAAATTACTTATGAGTCAGTATTTTTAAAGGCTGGCTTGAAATGAGAGCAAAGGTTGGTTATATATATATATGCCTTCAACATACTTCTATGACTTTATGAAACTAACATTGCCTTAGTCTGCTTTCATTATACCATGAAATGTCTGACTCTTAGTGCTATTTCCAAAACAACAGATTGTGTGTTAGAGGAAGTTGTCTAGCTTAATTTGTACTTCAGACCCTCCCACAGAAATCAGATCAAAGGACATTTTTGCAGATTCAGGAGATTCCTCAGTAGGTAAGGAGGACCAAAGTGACAATTAGCAGCCAACTCTCCCATCCCAAGTTGCCATACAAATTGTGGATGGAGAGACGCAGGGAAAGGATCAAATCATTAATTACTTCAACCAATTATTTTACAAGCAGACTACAAGACATTGTTTCATCATTCGTTACCACATGTGCATCTTCTGACGTTTATCTAATGCACACCTGCATCCATTTCAGAGTAATAGTGACATTCAATGTTTCCAGTATGATAACATTCTGGCATTCATTGACCAAACAGAATTATTGTCAATTGAAATTTATGACTTCATTAAGAGGATTTCCTTTTTAATCTCTTGTTTAAAGCAGTGTAGATGGTCACCATATGATAATCCAATAGTTTCTGCATTATGGCACTGAATATGTTGAATAAACCGTGTGCAGGTAAAACTTCACTCACCTGATCTGTATTGTACATTCCCATACCGACTCCACCTGCCTTAAAATTGAAAATGGTTATTCTGTTCTCGGTACCATTTTCAGGGGTGAAGACCATTTCGAGTTTTCCAGGTCCAGGAATCACAAGATCAGTTGCTTTGTACTGAGGAGACAAGACAAATATCCAGTCAGTTAAAATAAGCAATGGGGAAAACATTCATTAAAACATTGATATCTACATTGATTAATCTATGATTCCTGAAACAAAATGTTGACAATACTTACACCTCACTAGGAAAAAAAAAAAAAATTGCCATTAGTCTCACTTTTTACCCTTGTCACATCAAACATTAGGGGTTTAAGTTTCACCTTCATTTATTTTTAGTGGGGCTTAGTTCCTTCAACTTTAGGGTGCCGTACTCAGACATGTTTTGCGAAACACACACAAAAGATATTCAATACTTGTCAGACTTAATCCATTTCTCTCTCGATTATATATATATATATATATATATATATTACTTGTGGGATAAGTAAATATAAAGTGGATACTGTCAACCTACTCGCAACTCTGAGATTGACAAACACCCACACTTTCAAGAGACCCTGAAATGTTTGTGCGACATATTCCTAATGTGTGTTGGCAGGTGGGTATAGGATTAGCTTAGCCTGTACTCCAGCCAAAACTGAAATGGTGTATTTCCAAAAGAAATTGTTAGTGTCTTTATAGTTATTTATTTCCAATAAATAGCAATTCCCTATTTTATTTTTCAACAAAATGTGCCAACACTGCCGTGCAATATTACAATGCAAAATTGAAATTGTTGAATAAGGTTTTCTTAAAAAGGAGATGAATTTATTTAATAAAAAAAACACCTCTTTTCAAAAGAAAGAAAAAAAAATTGTTCTTCCAATAATTTACATTCCTAGAAGTTATTCAGATTTTTTTTTAATTACAGAAACAAGGAAATGATAAACACCCACTAATGTTATTTACAAGCATTTTAGACAAGTATTAATGGATTTAGAAATCTGTTTACACCAATCAGCAGATTTTCTACTTTTATGGCTAAGGTCAACACAGATACATAAACGGTGACCTATTTATGGCAGCACAAATGCAGAGTATTAAAAAACTGAATGCTAGAGAATAGAGATTGAGTTTAAGAACAATTTAGCTAGGAAAGCAATCGGTGTTACTGAAGTCAGATAAAAAAAAAAGAAAGAAAGAAAAGGCTACATTTGAGTAAAAGAACCTAGGAATAAAAGTCTTATTCTCTTAATGGCTATCTTTCTGTCAAACTATCAGAATCTAATTTAGATAAGCAAATCTTATTGTCAAAATGAGAAAACTCAATTTTTTACAGCCAGAAATCGTTTACAGAAATTGGGAAGGTTTTGTGGGTTGGCCCAACTTTAACAGCATAGGGGTGTGGATAACATAAGCAGTTTGGCAATTAACAAAGCTGAGTGAATATGGTGATAGAAGTAATAAAGAAGTCAAATTAAAATTAAGATCACAGATAATTACTAATTAGACAATTTTACATACTCGAGGCAGACATTCTGTTGAAGACATTATTTTTAAGGCATGAGAACTTAAAAAAAAAAAAGCCTCCAACGAAATGTCTCACTTGACTATGTATAATTGGTAATTATTTGTGACCCTAATTTTAATTCAGCCTGTTTATTACTTCCATCTCTATACTGTGTGACCCTAATTGAGTAATTGATACCCACCCCACCTAAACATTAATTTAAATTCTGTCACTTGGCTGTCTAAGTAAAGTGCATGCTTAATCCCCTAAGCAGCTTAGGAAACCAAACAAGAAACCACTAGCTGTTTAGCAACCAAATCTTTGATAAAAGGTGTTATATCATGCCAGAGTCTTTATGAAGAGGAGAGCCCAAGGTGGGGGTGAGAAACAGACCTGACCCCCATCCAGCCACACCTCGAGTTACGTCAGACCCAATGTATGGTGGTTATGGCACTATCCCCAACAATATAATACCTAGTCATGCAGTGCTTCATGATAAAGACAGCATTGTTTGTACGGCATAGTGAATTGTGCTAGATTCGTTATCTCTTGTTTGTGCCATATTTTGTGGGGAACTTTTTACCCTTCATTATGGCTCCCAAGTGTAAGGCAGACATTTTGGTGCTTATGTAAGTGACCCCTGACATACATTGAAAATTGGGTTATGTCACACCTTGGGAACAAATATCCAACATAAGTTAAGGATCTTATATATATATATATATATATATATATATATATATTACTTTTTACATATAAATATCTGTCAGAAAATAAAACCCTTAGATTTGCCTTGATAAAGCCACTAAAAAGGTCAAAAATGCACTGGCTAAGTTTTCCTTTGGCCTTTTTTTTTCATATATAATGGAATCAAAATATTAATTACAAACATGACCACTTACCTGATCACCATGAGCATGTCTGCCAATAGTGATTGGCTGAGTCCAACCAGGGACAAGACGAGGAATGGACTTGCAAATGATGGGTTCTCTGAAGACTGTGCCACCAAGGATGTTTCTGATGGTACCATTAGGACTCAGCCACATTTTCTTCAGCTTGAATTCTGTAGGGAATATAGAATAAAAATAAAAAACCTAAAATGACACACTGACACTTATACAAAGGTCATTACTGATACTAATACAAGGCAGGTATTGAGAAGTTTTCAGCTCATCTCCATTTTCCAGAGGATCAAATACCAGATTCTTTTTTTGGGAGGGTTTCTTGATTTGGCCAAGAACTTTTCATCAATTCCCTAGCATAAAAGGGCCATTTAGTTTTAAGTTTTTAAGTGATGTTTAAACATTCTAAATATTGAATTTCATCCTGTCTATTGCAGATTTATTATTTGCATTAGTCACAGCTTGCCAGAACTCCTATTCTGCAATGAAAACGGGAGTGTTCATCATGATAGCTTTCAGCTGAATGGCACAAACTGGTTTAATTTTAGGCCAGCTCTCGGCACCCACGTTTGGAAAAAAAATCATTAAATGACAACAAATCAGAAACAGTTCCTTCTTGAGCGATTCCAACTCTATATAGTCCAGCAATTTGACTCCAGGGTTATTTGCCTGTCTGCCCATTTTTGGTTGGGAATTTGGGCTGGTGCTGCCCAGTTCAGCTTAGAGATCAAAACCAATCGCAACTTGACAGTATTGTTCAGCAAGCAGATGGCCATTTCAATTAACTTGTGTATATACACATTTCAATTCAATGACTAAAAAAGGAAAAGAAATTACATATTTCTTACAGAATAATTCTAAAAAGTGTAATTAAATCTTTAAGGGCTTAATTTTTTTTCTCCTTATTGCTGACCCATGGAAGAGGATGTCTTATTGCAAACTTACTCAAACCGTGTATCCATGTGTGCATATACATTAAAAGACAAGCACATGTAAGCCATTTATACATGACATCTATATACATTACATATGCACATTAAAGTACACAATGTTTACTGACAAAGAATCTGCTCACATATATTAGTAAGAATACAGTTTTAAGATGAGTAAAAATGCTCGATATCAGAGAAATCCCACATAAAACACCAAACAGCTTGAACGAAATCTTCAGGCCTGAAGACTGTGTTCAAGCATGAAACATGAAACAGTTGCTGCTTGGTGTTTACTGTTCACTTAACCCCCCACCAACCCAGTCAGCAAAAAAAAAAAAAAAAAAAAAGTAATCTAAATGACAAATACAGTGAGACTTGAAAACAAGAGTAATAGTTAAAATTAATAAATATTAATGTTTGACTTACAAAGATTAAAAGATTAGCAAAGATTAATGGATTAGTTTAAATATTAAGTGAAATGCATGTTTATAAATATTCAGACTAAACACCACTTTTAAGAAATCAAAAAGCAAGTTCATTTTTGGTGGGGGAAGAGAGGGAGACCCTGTATCTTTGTATACATGATTAGCATAAGTATTTGTTTTACTAACCTTCAACTCTGGCTTCATCTGGGGTGATCGTAGCACACTTTATGCCAACATTATGCTTGAGGATGGCATGGGCAGCATCAATTGTCACCTGGTCATCTGTGGCATCACGATAAGGCAGACCCAAATCATAATACTTGCAATCAACATTCACATAGGGAAAGATGAGCTGGAAGAATAACAAAGACATTTTTGGTCATTAATGAAAGATTAATATAAACATTTTTTTTTTCTGCAACAGTTTAAGTCATTTTCATAAGAGAATGTTATTAGTAAAAAAAAGAAAAGGAAAAAGCAAATAGTACTAACAATGTTAGTCAGGCTTGGCAACCAACTTACAAGTGAGCAAGAACTGGTTTCATGATCAGACAAATTCTTATTTTGATGATTAGAGATTATCTCTTATCTTATACAGCATTACCCTTGCCATGATTGTTTAATGTTGTGCGAACCTTACGCACAAACATACATACAGACACAAAATCACATGTACAATGCCAAACGATCATTGGCTAATAAATCACTAAAACATTTTCTACAGGCAATTTAAAAACCACAGTAATATGACGATTTTAGAACCGCTTTATTTTTTTTTAGTCAAATTTGCGCACTTTTGGGAGAAGTGGCTCACAGAAGCTTCCTTAAGTCTCCCCAAAGCTCGCTCGCTGATTGATGCCAACCAATCAGATCATTTGCGCATGAAGAATAATTTTTCCTGCGCAACAAATTGGAGCCTATATTCGCTTATTTAAGCGAAGATTTTTCTCATCTCAATTAGTGAGACCTCAACTGCTAACCAAATCTATGACGGTTGGAACTCCAGTTCTAGCCATGTGCCAACCTTCTCACTTACACCCACATGCTGATGATTTGTATACCCTCACTAAAAACTTTGACAATACTTTTCAACAGTAATATCACAAGAACAATCATATAAAACACACATGAACATTTATCCAGTGAACTTTAAACCAAATAATTATCTATCACTGAACTCTTAAATTGCAGTCAAAGAGAGGCAACTCTTGATTAATTCAACTGTTCTTAAATGCATGTTTTCTTTCACATCATTGTTCGATATTGTACATCTTGTTAATATACATATATTTTATGTGTAACAATGTCTTGTGGTTATTCCTGTTGCGCGAATCCTGTTTTCTTAGCAAACTTAAATTAATGCCGTGAAGTACCCCACATTATCATAAAATGCTAGTAATAATAAACTGGTCATGAAACAGGGAAAGTACCATATTTTCTTGGACATAATGAGAAACTGAAAATTAAATGGGAAAAAAAAAAAAAAATTGATAGGTTAGTTGTTTAGTGCATCGTTTATTCAATACCAAAATCTATGTATTTTTTTTTACACAATTTTATTTTTCGTTATAATAGTTTAAGGACAAGTCTTACTAATTAATCTATAACTGGGGGAGGGGGATTAAGACATTTCCCAAGGTTATTTGTGTATAAGGAATTGGCACTGCTCTCTGATTAACAATTCTGAGCCATTATAATTACACCACCAGTACAGCCAAGCTTACAGCACCTGGTATTTCCAAGTGGTCACCCATTGAGATACCAACTAGCCTCGATGTTGCTTAACTTTGGTGATCTTTATGGGAACTAGTATTTCAATATGGTGTGGCCATATGCCAACTTTATTTGAAACAGCAAGATTGCAAATACACTCATCACAATCAATAACAAAACACAAAGTAGGCAGATGTTCACTGTTTACAAAAGGTATTTCGATATATTGGTAATATTTTTTTTTCAGGAATCAGCATAATTGAAGCCTTGACTCAGTTTGGCTATTTTTTTTTTTTTTTTTTTTATTATAATAGAATCTTCATTCTTACTGAAGACTACTTTTCATTTTATGGTTTACTATATAGAAATATAGTCAAATTATAATCAAACAGAATTATGATAAATTGACACCTTAAAATTTATTACCAGGTATGTTGTCTAGTTAGCACATTCCCATAAATGAA